CAGCCCCAGCTGCATCCAGAGCATCCCACGGGAGTCCAGCCCAGGAAGCTCAGCTCACTCCTAGCACCTTCTGCATTCTAATAATTCCATGGTTTTCCCAATTTCCAGCCCAGCAGTGCTGGATTTGAGGGTGTTTTGGCTCCACAGAGAGCTGGATGGATGCAGGCAGGATCCTGCCCCAGGAGAGTGTGACACTGGCAGAGCCAGGCTAGGCCATGTCTGATCCAGCTCAGATCCTGGCTGGAATCCTGCATGGTCCAGGCTATCCTGGCCTGATTCTGGGGGTTGGTCCAATGAGAGGCCGCAGGGATCTGCCCAGCCCTGAGCTGAGTCACAGCAGGGAGAAGTGGCTGGATGACTGTTCAAAGGGAACTTCTCACCAATGTCAGGATGAAGTGAGGAGCCAGTGGGAAACCCCTGAGAAACCCAAACCAAACTGGTGCCAAGAGCTGAGCCATTCCCCAAACCCACAGAACTCCCTCTCCTCTTCTCAGGGCCCTGCACCTCGAGGGCTTTTCCAACGCTCCTGACCCTTTGTCACCACTACTGGGAGCTCAGAGCTCTTCATTCCTCCCGTGATCCCCAGCTCAACCCCTTCTGATGCTCTCAGCCCAACCCCAGCCCCTCACACCCTGCTCATCCCCCGGGTGCCCCCAGCCCACCCCAGCCTGCTGCAATACTCAAGGTGAAGCTCCAGCTCCTCACGGGGGAGCTTCCCTCTGTCCTGGCTGGCACAGAACAGAGCAGCACAGCCTCTTCCCAGCAGCTTGGATGCTCCTGCCGAGCAGCTGATCCCACTCCTGCTCCCAGGATGTGCCAGGGCACTGCTCCAGCTGCTGTGGTGCCTCCCTGGCTTGGGCCCTGCGTGGAGCAGATGATGCTCTGGCCGAGGGCAAGAGCTGCGTGCCAGGTTCACTGCCAGTTCCTGCCTGCTCTGGGTCACAGGATCATGGAATTGAGGTCAGAGGGGTCACTGGAGCCCATCTGGCCCAGCCTCTGTCCCCCTCGGCACATTACTCAGAGTTGTGGCCAGATGGCTTTGGAGCATACCCAGTGCAAAGACTCCACCACCTCTCTGGGCAGCCTGTGCCAGTGCTCAGTCACCCACATAGCAAAGTTCTTCCTTCCCCCTATTCAGGTGGAACTTCCTGGGCATCAGTTCCTGCCTGTTGCCTCTTGCCGGGCCCCAGGGAGCAGAGCCTGCTCCAGCCTGGCACCTCCCTGCAGGCACTGCTAGACATGGATGAGGTCTGTCTCAATCTGCTCTTCTCCAGGCTGAACAGTCCCAGTTCCCTCAGCCTTTCCTCACAAGAGAGCTGCTCCAACCCCTCATGATCCTCACAGCCCTCCCCTGGACTCGCTCCAGGAGCTCCTTGTCCCTCTGATGCTGAGGAGCCCAGACCTGGACACAGCACCTGCAGCTGAGCCCAAGCAGAGCTGAGGAAGGGCAGGATCATCTCCGGCAACCCACTGCCAATGCTCCTAACACAGCCCAGGGTCCCACTGGCCCCAGGTCAGCTTCTGCAGCTCATTACACACTTAATGGTCACTCCAAGTGCTTCCTGGGTTGGGCTGTTCCTTTGTGCATTTGCAGATTGGTGGTGTTTGTTGTTTTCATCCTGTTCCATCAGGTTTGTGCAGCTCCATGTGGGATTGCAGTAGTGGACTCTGCCCATGGAGAACAGAGGACTTGGATCCTTCCTGGGCAGCAGGAGCTCAGCTATGGGTAACAGGACTGGTGAGTTCATGCAAGCCACGGGCTCTAAGTCAGAGCTGGTGGCTCCTGACTCTCAGCCCCAGGAATTTGCTGTTCCAAGTTGATTCCCACAGGTTTTGGTCTGACTGGAAACCACTGGGAGTATGAGCACAGCCAATTCCTCGTTTCTGCTGCAGCAGGACAGGATCCTAATCCTCATATGTCACCATGTCTGTCACAAATTTTGCTGGAGGCCAAGAGGAAGAGACAGAAGGGGCTGATTTCTGGCCTCATTGAGATCAGAGCTCCCATTTTCCAACTGTTACATTTTACCTGTTTTTTTTTTAATTAAAACAATTAATGCAGATTTAACTGAGATTGTCTGAATTGTTTTCCAGGAAGTTCAGTGCCAGTGATGTTGCTGCTGCAGTGCTGCTTGCTTCCAAAGGAATGGTGTGAGGAATTTTACCACCTGTTGGAAGGAAGTAAGGAGCTTTTGGGGTGACATTCTAACCTCCTACCAAAGACACATCATTCAGTGCTGGGGTAAATCCACACCATGATTTTGAGTCCATCCAAACTGAAAGAGTCTTATAAAAGTTTGTTAGGAATTGTAGTGAGAGGACAAGGAGTAATGGGTACAAATGGAAAGAGGGGAGATTTAGATTAGATCTCAGGAAGAAGTTTTCCCTGTGAGGGTGGTGAGACACTGGCACAGGGTGCCCAGGGAGGCTGTGGCTGCCCCAGCCCTGGCAGTGTTCACAGCCAGGTTGGATGAGCCTTGAGCAACTGCTCTGGTGGGAGGTGTCCCAGCCCAGGGCAGGGGGTGGCATTAGGTGATCTCTAAGGCTGACTACAACCCCTTAATGTACTATGAAAAGGACCATTTACAAAGCCACAAATGTACCTCTGTTTTGAAAGTTTATTGGATCATCTTGACACAAAATCATTACAGCAGCTTGTGGTATGTTGTTTTCTTTTTCTTTTTTGAAGGGAATGTTGATAGCAAATAAATTTGTGAATGTAACACATCATACAGTTTCAAAACTCTAGAATCACTGCACAGGATTCTGTAAGAGACTCTACATGCTAAAGTGACAGTTTTCATCCATGAATTTAAAATATAAAAAAAAAACAACAAAAACACTAATTGAGGAACATTATCCTTTAAGACAATTTTAATATGTTCAGTTTCTAATACACAACTGGCTAACCAAGGGAGGCTGACCAAACCCAAAGCCATCTCATCCCCAGCAGTGAGCTGACACGCGTGGGCAGACCCAGAGCTGGGCCTGGCACGAACCAGAGCTACAGAGCCTTGGCCAAAGTACCTCCTGTGGGAAGAGTGTGAAGAGCACAAGACACGTGTAAAGTACAGGACGTCACCCCAGGGGTAAGACCAACACTTTATCCTGCTCCCTGCAGAGGGTTTTGGTTTGGAGGAGTGGTGCTGGTGGTGCCGGAGCAGTGCAGACCCACCCAGCTCCTCCCTGTGCACATTTTTGGAGCAATCAACCACTCTTTGACCTGTGCCTTGAGGCAAAACTGTTCCAGTGAGGTCGCAGCAAGGAAAAGAACTAGGCAGGGGGTAAAAAATAAATTGAAAGCAAGGGATGTTGGAGAAGGACATCAATTGAGCATCTCTGCAGGACACAGTGATGGCTCTTTCCAGTGATTCCATGAGATTTCCATAGTGCAGAATGGGCTTCACTTCAGAGACCCTCCCTTCTTCCCTCTAAAGCAACCTACTACAGACCCAAGTCTGCAGCTCCATAGCCCCTGCCCATCCCAGGCAGGGAAAGCAGATCCTCACCTCCATCCCCTCCTGCACATGGGCAGGGAGAAGGGATCCTCACCTCCATCCCCTCCTGCACGTGGGCAGGGAGAAGGGATCCTCACCTCCATCCCCTCCTGCACGTGAGCCGAGAGGTTTCTGTCACAGGGACCCAGAGGTACTTCTGCTGCCAAATCTGTACCCGATGCTGCATGGGCAGGGCTGAGGGACACTGAGACAGCACAACACCTCTGGTTTCACAGCACAGGGGGAGGACAGGGCTGTACCTGCACACTGGGAGCACGAGGAGTTGCACATGTGAGTGTCTGTCTAAGCTGGTGGTGGTCAACCTCAGCTGGTGAGCAAAAGGATAAAAGAGCAGGAACAGACCCCTTTGGATTTCCAGTTTCTTGCTACAGCTTAACTGTTCAGGAATGTGAAATCGAAGTGGACTCATAAAACATATCAGCAAAGACTGCTCAGAGGGGAGAGGCAGGACAGACTCCATGTGCAGGGGCAGTTGATGGGAGCACAGTAACACTTTCAGCCCATTTCATGCATCCAGTCTTGACTCTTCCAGCTGTCACTAAAGAAGGTTAAGGCTCAAGGCAACTACTATAAACAGAAACTCAAACATCCCAGTTCTCACAGGGCTCCTTTGGATTAGCTCGAGGAGATGGAGGATGTTTATATGCTGATCACAATAGATCTCAAGATAATAATAATAATAAATCATATATATAAAAAAAAACCAAAACAAAAGTAGAGGCCTTCAGGTCCAGCACCAGCCTCTGCTAGAAATATACACCAACTACAGCAGCCCTGAAGACATAGTCCATGGCTAAGGATTAAGTCAACCTTCCCTGGCATAAGCACAAGCAACAGACTGTCCTACTGCTGATCAAGTCTTGCTTAGCCCCAGTCCCACATGGATGGAAGGTCACGGGATCAGCATGAGCTGCTGAATAAATAGTGCCCAGCCCTCCCTCCTTCCTTCCCACTCTCCCTTCCTCCGTCCTCCAGTCATGTCACCAGGATCTCTTTGGGCTAGAAAGGGTTAACACCACAGTTTGTAAAAGGTTCTGAAATAAAAAGGTAACATACAGCCTTAAAATGTCTAAACTGCAACCAACGGTGGAGGTGAGTGAAAGCACGTGCCCCAGGGTAGTACATGCGGATGAGGGAGAAACTTAACACTTGGGTCTGCTCGGTGGGTGCGTTTCTTGTCATTGGAATATTTGATAAGGAATATTCAGCACTTGGACAATGTCTCTTTCATCTCATCCAACAAGTTGCTAAGCAGGGTGGAATCATTACATTTCCCATCTATTGATACAGAGTTCTCTCCCTAGGAAAGAGAAAATAAATCAATCCATTACCTGTTCTTCCAAGCAGTGACAATGCTGTTCCCAGTCAAGTTCAGGGACTGGAAACAGGCAGTGGAAGACAGGGATTGGAAACAGGCAGTGGATTTAGCTTCTCTCAGGGCTCACAACACTCTCACCTTTTTTACCAGTAGGCAGACGTGATGGCCTTGGATAGAACGACTGTACATGGATGCACAGGAATCAACGCGTTCCACAACTGCAAACAGACAGGATAACATTTACTGGGATAACTCTCTCCCCTGAAGAGGAGCCACTGCTCTGCCTGGCCTCAAGGAGCAGGAGATTCTACAGAGGGCAGGAGGAAGTCAGGGTTAAGATGGGCCTGACTTCTCTTGGCTTCTGTCTGGGACATTTCACAATAACGAGGTGACGCATTTGTCTCTTAAGCCACAAATGTTCTGTGGCAAAAACACTGCTCAGAATGGAGATTTCTTCCCCAGAATGACTTGCAGTGAGACAATGTATAATGCAAACAGCAGAGCATGATGAAACAGCTAGTTGTTTTGCTTCAGCCAGTACTTGGGTTTTAACTAAAAGTCCAAACCTGAATACTGGAGCCCTCCCTCACTGGAAAGATGCACTGGGGAAGAGGGTGAAGCCCTGGAGATCAAACCCACCCTCCAGAGAACAGTTCCAGCCTGAACTCTACACACGCTGCTCCTGTGACACCTGTCACATGCCTCACTGGGCTGCAGGAAAGCCCCAGGGACAGGAGGAGAGTTCATGCCGAGAACAATACCTGCTCTGAGTACTGCAACACTGGAAAAAACTCCTCTCCCAAACATATTTAATCTGGACATCACCTCCTGTCAGGTGTCTCCTCCTGCTCCTGTGATTGCTGAGGCCACAGTGTGTTGTGCTTGCCAAGCGCAGCAGAGATTTTAGAACATGGAACTTTGCATCTCAAGGAAGACTCACCCGAAAAATGATGATGAAAACAGATCTTTGCCAATAGATGTTGGAAAGAAATGCTAATTCCATCTACTTTAATAGAATTCATGTGCAGGTCTCCAGACTCTAGGAGCTTGGCAAAAGCATCACTGCAAAACAGGAAGGAAGGTGAACACTTTACTAGACATGCAAGTGAAATCTGCCCCGTCAGCCCCATGCAGACCCAGAGACATCCGAGGAGGGAGAGGTCTACGCACTGCTAAGCTCTAAGAAAATGGGTTTACAGCAAATATGGGAACCACACTCCAGACTCCAGTGTGAGACCACAACCAGAGCTACCTCCACACAGAGCTCCTTCACAGCCACTGCAAATACGTCACCGGATGTATTTTGACAGCCAAACCTTGCACAAGATACTGAGCTGTGCCCAAGCAATCACAAGCAGCCAGGCAAGGTCAGCAGCATCTCACCTGCAGCCAAAGCTCATGCTCACATGGGCAGCAAAGCACAGAGCAGGCCCTGAGGCACTTACCTATAGCAAGGCGTCGTGATCAAGTATGAAGCACAACTGAAGTGCAATTTGAAATCTAGTTTTTCATGGGTTGAACCTTCATCATTCTGCAACAGGTCAAAGGAAAGGAGATGAATGGGAGCCCTGGGGCAGCAAGAGGAGGCACCATCCCCACCTACCAAACAGGCACCAAGGAGGACCTGAATTCCCTCTGAAATAGCCTTGCTGGGCCTGAAGGATCCATATCAGAACAACCATCCCACTGCAACATCAGCCACTCAGAGATGTCAGCTGGTACCTACACCCAGAGCAGGTAAGGGACACAACTGACTGCAGTTCTGCTTGCACTCTGATGAAACGGATTGAGCAGACTGTTTCAGCTAAAACTATGGATTTACAGCTTGTTATTTCCTGAGAAAATATATCTCCCAGATTGTTAGGTAGTGAAATAGCACTAGGACGCTATTTTTAAGAAACCCTTAAAACAGAGATAATGTCTGTCTCAGAAGTAGCCATAACTGTCTCCATTCACTTCCTTAGAGCTGTTCATGCAGTTCCTTCATTAATAATGGTACTGAACGAAGATCAGAAACCCAGAGAGTCTTATACAGCTCAATACTTATCAAACAATGCCTTTAGTTCACCTCACTCTTGGTCTGAGGGTTTCTACCCCTAACTGTATCTAACTCTTATTGCTGTTGTTTCCAGCCTTTTACTGGGCAACAGTGTCCAAGTGATCTCTGGATAAATGGGATCACAAGGAACAGCCCCTGGCTGCACCTCTCCACAGAAGATCAGTGCAGGGATTTTCTAGCTGACACCGTGGCACATGTTCAGAGTGCTATGCTCACACACTGCCAGAAATTACATTTTGGGACATGCTTATGCAGAATTTGGGATACTCTTTGCACAGGATGTCATGTAAAAATACTTCTCAGAGCACAGCATGGGCTGGTGCAGCAGAGATGAAATGATGCCTAAAATAAGCTCCAGAGCAGTGCTTCCCACCCCAGCCCAGAAGCAGAGTTGAGAGCTGCACTTACTTTGACTATAAAGGAGAGTGTTCCTTTTAACTTCTGAGCCATAACAATACTCTGAAGTGTAAACACAAACTGGGCTTCATTAGAGATTCCTAGTATGAAGAGAGGAGAGGGAGAAGTCAGGTCAGAACATGGGTTTCCAGATCTAAGGAATGGTCAGAATAAACTGATTTATGTGCTGACTAGTGTTGAATCAAGTTTGACATTTTCTGTGTAGCTGGAAGAGAGTTGTACACACAATTCCTGTGGTGAATCCACAGTGTTACAGCACTTGTGTCTCTCAGAAGCAGCAGTGAGAGCTGCCATTGGGTAGAGTTTATTGACTGAGTGCCTGGGCAGAGTATGTCACAGTGTCACATACTGAAACTATCCAGGTAACTACAAATTGCAAAGCTTTTAGAGTAGTTTTCAGAGTTAATTTGAATTCTAATGTTTCTATTTTCCTGTTAACACACAAGTCTGTGTCAGGAACTGCCTCATAAAAAACTAAAACCAAATTAAATACCCCACTGCTTTTCCAGGGGGCTGAAAATGCCCCCTGAGGCTGCTGAAGCTCTCAGTGAGCTGTTTCAGTATTCAAATTAACTCTGGTGAAAGAAGTGAAATTCAAGGAAGCTCAGCAATCTGACTGCACTGCCATGCTCTGTATGCAGCCATTCCCCTTCATTCTTGTGCTAATCATTCTGCAGGGCTCAGCTCCCCTCCTTAGACACATCCTTATCTCCAAACTTCACTGCAGGTGGCCTCTGGCCTTAAAACAGTGGGACACCAGCTCCAGAATAAATACAGAGTGAATTCAAATGGTTCACAAACCTACAACTTTGTTTCCTTTTAAATCTTAGAGCAAACTTCTCATGAATTTTGGATTACTGTAGTCAAAGCTGTGCCAGCCTGCAGGAACCTAGAAAAGGAACTCAGGCATTTGAACTCCTAGCCCTGCATTAGAGGCTTTTGCTGTACAGAATCACCTGTGTTACAGTCAGACTGTGAGAAGGCTTATCCTCTCCAGGGAACTGTGGGAAAGCCCAGGAACACCCAGGCAGAGACATGTGTTTCTGGCAAACAGCAGAAAGTTCCAACAGTTCTTCCCACAGGAGGGCAGAGCAGGGCCAGGCAAACTGCAGAGCTCTGTGCAGAGCTGTACATACCCGGGGGGAGCTGGAAGGGCACAGGGATCCCATCGTGTACTGATGATCCTTCAGGTCGCAGTATTTTAGTGTTGAGAGAGTCCAGGACATTTAGTTCCATGCTTTTAAGGAAGCTAGCGCTTTTGTTCTCAAAGATAACAGAGACAGTGACTTGGCTATCATTCTGGAGGTTTCCTTGTATATCATAGGTCTGCAAGGGAAGGGAAAAAACCCACATTGAAGATCAAAATATCTTGGCACATGGCACTGAGATTGGCAAACCTCAAACGGGAGGGAATGTGGTCCAGCTAGAGGATAAGGAAAAGCACACTGGTGATCAGCTAAGTACTGGGGAAGTATCAATGTAAAACTGAAGTGGGACACCCAAAGGAATGGAAATGGAGCTTGGTTATAGTTCTGCCTGCTGGGATTTGAACAGTTCTTCACAGAATTATGGAAGAAACCTTTAAGATCATCCAGTCAAACCATTAACCTGTCACTGCCTGTAACCCCTAACCCATATCCTCCAGTGTCAGATCCAGACACCTCTTAAACCCCCCAGGGATAGTGACTCCACCACCTCCCTGGCCAATATTCCAATGCCCGACCACCCTAACAGGGAAAACCTTTTCTAATATCTGCTCTGAATCTCCCGTGTATCAGCTCAAGGCCATTCCCTCAGTCCTCTCTCCCTGCAGGCATGGCAGGAGAGACCACCCTCCACTTCTCTAAAACCCTGTCAGGTAGTTGTAGAGAGCCACGAGGTCACCCCTGAGCTTCTTCTCAAGACTGAACAAATCCAGCTCCCTCAGCCCTTCCTCATACGACATGTTCAGTTACATGATCTAAGTCAGTCACTACACCATCCCCAGGTTTTTCTCTCTTTTCTGAGGGAATACAAAGACAAGGCATCTGGATGTGAACACCAAAAACTCACCATTTTGATGTATGGATTTTCAGCCAGAAGGCGATAGCTGGACATGGGCTGAAATAACAGGAGAGAAATCACAGTCACACTAGAACTAATTTATCTGAAAAGAGCTGTCACTCTTCTCCCTTTCAAAGAGTTCAGTTCTGCCTTGCCCTCAGGTACAGCTACTCACTGGTAGTGGCTCATCATCTAGTGTTCCATTCTGCACTGACTCTGTGGGCTCCTCCTCACTGTGATGACTCTTTTTTTTTGATTTCTTTTTATCCTTTGATTTATCTTCTTTCTCTTTCTTGTGCTTTTTCTTCTTATGCTTGGAGGATTTCTAGCAAGAAGAAGAAACAACAACAAACCCTTAAAGACACCCTGGATTTCTAGCCCTGAGCCCCCTATCATGCTCCCAACTCCAGACTCTCCCTCTCTGCACTTTCTGGGCTGAGCAAAGTTTCCCTTTACTGCAGAACCCAAACCAGATCTCTCACTCCTTAAACCCCCAAAGTAATTCCATGGTGAGCCCCAGTAAACCCTCGTTCCCAACTGGGATGACAATACATTATCCCAAAGCACCTGGGGGCACCACAAGGCTGTGAATCTCTTCAACTGCTTGGAAGCTCAGCTTGAACTGTGACCTGTCCCTTGGCTCAAGGAACAGCTAAATCTCTTACTACAATATGTTTAGGGCTCCTCAAGGACATAACATTTGCAGGTGGTCACTACACTGGACTGATGCTGTTGGTAATTCCTGAGTTAGGCTTTTTAAGAATTTGAGACAGCAGGAAGATGTGGCTGCAGGTGTCTGCAACTTCAGAGAATCAGAATCAGAGAACCATGAAGGTTGGACAAGATCTGTAAGATGATCAACCATCAACTAGCACCATCACCATCATGGGGGTAGTTCAGTGGTGATGCACCCTAAACCATGTCCCTAGGAGCCACATTCACATGTTTTTCACACTTTCAGGGACGGTGACTCCACCACTGCCCTGGACAGCTGTGCTTAACAACCCTTTCCATGAAAAATGCTTTCCTAATATCTAATAGAAACTTCCCCTGATGCAACTTGAGGCCATTGCCTCTGAACTTAAACTACTCACCTTTCCTTCATCATCCTCCTCCTCATTTTGCTCTTCCCTTTCTTCCTTTTTTACCTCTTGAGGTTCAGCCACCACAGCAGCTCCCATTCCAGGCTCGCCCTGAGGAGAGGAGCAGAAGGAGCACTAATGGAATGCAGCTGAAATAATCAAATCCCACACAAAAAGAAACATCAACAGTGAGGTTATTTCAAAAGTGACATTAGGTTGACATGGCATCAAGCCTTTCATTTTCTGCTTCTGACAATCACCAAATATGATCACCTGAGGACAAGATTCAAAGGATTTCCTCCAAGAAATCCATTCCCTTATGTTCCTTGTCTCTTTCTCCAAAATCTCCCATCAAAATTCATGAGGCTTTTTCCTTCAGCCTCTGTCTCTCATGCCTATTAATGTTGCTAGTGTGCAGCTCACATTGGGAAATAAAACCATGCAATTAGACAGTATTAAACCCCACTAATGATATTAAAACCAACCAAGGCTGTAGCTGCATCTCTGTTTCTATTTCTGCCACTTGATCTCAGAGCAGAATGAGCCTGAAACCTCCCATGACAGTATCTGTGAGCTGGGGAGATACAGTGTCACTGCTCCACAGCAGGGAGCTGAGGAGATGAAGCTGATGTTCCCCTCTGCTGCAGCATGACACAGCACTGCTGTACAGCTGAGGTGCAGTCGGAAGCATCCTGGGACGGGGTAAGGTGCCTACCTGTGGCTGGACTGTGGGAGCAGGTGGGGGAGCAGTGGAGAGCCAGAAATCCAAGTCTTCCCCCTGAATTCCAAGAGAAAAAAACATCGTGTTTGTTTTGATGCTATTCTTAAACAAACCAACCAACCAGTCAAAAACATCAACAACAAAAGAAAACCAAACCAAAGGGCTGGAGCCTTTCTGCTGTGAGGAAAGGCTGGGACAGCTGGGGGTGTTTCAGCAGGGAGAAGAGAAGCTCCAGAGAGACCTTCCAGGAATGGCTTCCCACTGCCAGAGGGCAGGTTAGATGGGATATTGTGAAGGAATTCTTCCCTGTGAGGGTGCTGAGGCACTGGCACAGGTTGCTCAGAGCAGCTGTGGCTGCTCCATGCCTGGAAGAGTTCTAGGCCAGGTTTAAAAATTCTGAAGAATATGGGACAAAGGATGTAGAATGAAGGTGAATTCCAGAGGTTTTCCTAAGGATTTCCCCACTTGAAGAACAGACAAAGTATCAGTAAGCTCAGTTTCCAAACGAGCTCTGGCAGCTCTGCTGTGTAGGCTGCAGGAAGCTCAATTCTGCTAACTTAGGAGGATAAATGTTATTTTTATTAACAGAAATCTTTAAATACCTGTTGTTAAGGTTGTGAAAATTTAAGGAAATAAAGGCTGAAGGCATTAAGCTGCTTGAATTGTCAAATGTGACTGTTCCTAAGCAACAAACACAACACAGCAACAAATAACAGCAGCTACAAAATTAATGCAAGTCTTGGAAAATTACCTTTTTTTCTTCTTCTTCCTCCTCCTCCTCTACCACCTTTTCCCCTTTCTCTTTCTTCTTTCCTTTCTCTCTCTCTTTTTCTTTGTGTTTCTTTTCCTTCTTTTTGGGTTTCTTGTTCTTCTTCTCTACTACAGGAACTTCTGAGTCTGGTGACTTCAGGGTCTCAACATTTCTGTGTCTCTGCACTGGCAACTTCTCACTGTCTGCTAAGGGTCTGGAAAAGAAAGAGCTTCTCTGAGCTCAGATTATCTGATGGGTGTCCAACACAAGGCATGCTTTGTTGTTAAAGAGCTGGGCCCCAAAATCTTAAATCAGCACATACTTCTGTACCTGAAGTTTATTTATGCAACTGCAGCCACTGCCCTTGTGGGTGAGAGGTTAAAGGAAACAATATGAAGGTGACTGAGAGCCAAGTTCTTGCTGTTTAACTCTTACAAGTGCTAACTACAGACCTGGAGGCTGAGGAACACCTACAGAAGAACATAGACAAATGGTGTTACACTGTGTTTCTATGGAATTCCTCTCCCAGGAAGAGCAAAGATGTGAAAGAGCATTTTCACCAGTGTGGAAATGTGAGCAGTGCAATGCCAGCATGGCTCAAACAGCCCCTGAAGGGTATGGGCTTGGTTGCTGTTGATGAACAGATCACTCCAGCTGGGGATTGTTCCAAGTAGTTTTTATTCTGGACTTTTATACTATGAATTTGTACTCTACTATGACATTTTAAAAGCTAAGTTACCTCTAACTTCAGTTACCTGTTTGCAAAAAGCACAAACAGTGGTTCAGATTTCACACTGTATCCCAAATCCATTACTTGGAGAAAAAAACAGAGAATTTTCTCTCATTCTTGTGAAACATTTCCAGAAATCACCAAAAGTTTCACCAGTTGCCTCTTTTTCTATTTCTCAGCTTTTATTTAATGTTGATTTTCAGGTTTGCACAGCAAGCACCAGTTCAGGAAGATTTCTAATGGCCTCACCTGCCTTAACTTCTTGCTTACATTGTGCATGAAGAATCACAGAATCACAGAATTGAAGGGTCAGAATGGACCTTACAGAGCACCTAGTCCCAACCCTCCCTGCCCTGGGCAGGGACACCTCCTCACTAGCTCAGGTTGCTAAAGGCTCATCCAGCCTGGCCTTGAACACTGCCAGGGCTGGGGCAGCCACAGCCTCCCTGGGCAACCTGGGACAGGGTCTCATCACCCTTAGAGTAAAAAACATTTTTCTAATATCTAACCTAAACTTCCCCTCCTTCAGTCTGAATCCATTACCCCTTCTCCTATAACTGCAGTCCCTAACACAGAGTCCCTCTCTGGCTCCCTTGGAGGTCCTTCAGATATTGAAAAGTTGCTATGAGGTCTCCACGTAGTCTTGTCCTCTCTAAGCTGGACAGCCCCAAATCCCTCAGCCTGTCCTCATAGGGGAAGTGCTCCAAACACAATGAGCCAGACACAGTGAATTCTTCACTTTCAGATAGACACTAAGGGCAAACTGAATCCACCTGTCTGACCAGCAAACAGGCCTCACCTTTTAGCTACTTCACACACACCTATACAGGGAGGGGTGGAGGGGAGAGCAGGGAGGGGGCGACACCATGGCAGGAGAGAACAGCAACTCATGGGAAATGGGAAGGGATAGATGGAACAGTGCAACAGTTCAGAGATGCCTCCTGGAGCACAGCACCCAGAGACTGCTCTGCTCCCTGTGCCCCACACTGAGGCTCATCATGCCAACACAAGGGCTATGCTCACAAATTCATGTCCTTTTAGGCATCTGCAACCTGCAGACTCAGAGGAATTTTTTCAGAAACTGTTCACTGTTTTAAAATGCTACATCCTTTTTTAGTAAGGTACTGAGAGGCCAAAGCCCTACAAATTGGGGAACTGCAGAGAAAGGCAGACTCAGCTATCAGAGGAAGAAATACTAGGCACACCCACAAGTGCCTGCACAGACTCCCAAACTTCATAGGACACATCCCTGGAGTATAATTCAGCAATTATTTTTGGTGTGATGATTTTGTAAAAGAGCAACTAAAAGAAAACCAATCTCCATATGCAGTACTGAACAGCCCAGTGCCAATGGTCACGTGGCTGCAGAGACACAAGGGGCTGTGACAGCTCCATGGGGACCAGATTGGTCATAGTTATATGCAGTTCACTCAATCATGTTAGAACAACGTTTTTTCAACAGTGGAACCACACTGAATGGCCACAGGGCAATGGTGGGGGGCTACGAAGTGGCTGATGATCACAACACAGAGCACACAAGGCTTGCCATGGACACAGACAATGCAGGTCACACTCAGTGCCAACAGCAGTTACATCAGAGAGACAGTAAGACACCCAAAAGCTCAGAGTAAGTCACATCTGATCCCCGTGGCACTGCCTGTGCTTTCAGACCCTGTTCAGTCACACTAAATGACTCCCCTGCCCCTCCCAATCCAACCAGTACCTCAGCAGCTGAGCTTTATTGAGCTTTTATGATCCATGCTGCAGTGGGAGCCCAAGCTGGATGAGCATCTGAGGTTTCATTCAAGCCATGGAGAGACTTCAGCCTTTTCCCCTGGGGGAGTGCAGTTAGTGCCTGTGCCTGTTCAGCCCTGCCCTGCCCTCATGCATTCTCCTTAGCAACTCAGTGCATTCACACTCAAAACTGTCACTTACTTATCCAGATCTATATCGAGTGCCTTATAGGGATCATTGGGATCTTTGTCATCTTCGTCACTGGGCAAAGCATTCTGCAGGGGAGAGAAAGAAACCATCCACTGAGGAAGCAAACCACAGGCAATTTCCAAACTCAAGTTCTACATCGCCCAAATGGATTTTTTTGAACCTGTAACCCAGGGCCAGCTCAGCTGCAGTCAGCCACAGTAAGAGCAACACTGCACTTCAGTGCAGCATCTAGTTATAAGATTAATTTAGAACAGAAAAGCCTTCCTGAACTGCAGGATTTGAATGGCTACTGCTCAGTTTTGATTGAAAGAAATTTTAGGATCAAATACAGATGACATCATTAGCATGTGTAGTTAATTATCATCAGCTGCAAAGCTGCTGACTAGACAGCAAGTTACTGTCAAAGTGAAGCAACAGAGCATAATAAATGAAGTGACTATTCGGCCAGAGTTACTTTTAGAGCAGTGATGCATTGTTTTACTGACTGGGTTTGATTTTTCAAATGGCTTCAGTGGCAATTTTTGCCTTTTTTTGTGCACAAAAAGGCAGTAATTTCTCCTACAAAGAACAGCCTGAGACCACCTCAGTTAGTTCTGAAACAGCTCTGCAAAAAAATCAGAGCTCTGGAACAGCAATACTACAGCCTGGCTGGCAATTCTGGGGGCAAAACCTCTCAGGAAGAGCAGCACAGAGATAAAAACCATCACTCAGACACCAACTGACCTCTGGCATTTCCTCTGTGATGATGTCCACGTGGTGAGCTGGAGCAATGTCCTCCTCACTCTCTGTGTGCAGAGAGTTGTGGCGATGGTGTTTCCCTCTCTTCTCCTTTTTCTGTTTCTTCTTTTTCTTGTCTTTCTCCAGTTTCTGTTTATGTCTTCTCTCTTCTTCCAGTTTCACATACTGGTCTGACATGGGCATGCCTGAAGGGGAAGCCAATCTGCTTTCAGGCTACAGCCCACAGGTACACTGAGCAATGAAACTGTCAGGAGTGAATCCTGCTTCCAGCTGCCCAGGATCAGCAGGATCCACACCTCCCTGTGCTTCCATGTCACCTCACACACAGTCCCTCAAGCCCCTCAGGCACTGGGCACCACACTCCATCTCTCTCTGAACAGGACAGAGCTCAGTCCTGACACGAGCTCCCCGATCCTTCAAACTGCATTGAGCAGAATTGGTGCCACTGCTGTGCCAATACTGACATCTTTCCACGCTTCTGGAAAAAGCCTGAAATATTTGCACTTAGAACTCCTCCCTTGCAATGTGCTGCACTGCACAGGAGCTTTTTAGTGCTGTATCCAGCCACTCTTAGATACACAACGACATTTAGCTATTTGAAATGCGATAATAAAACAGTATCTCTGCCATTAGACTCTATTTAATGTCTCCTGCTCACCTCCATCAGTCCTTTAAGACATTCCAAAGGTGACTGATTCTACACAGAGCAGTGGTTACTCTACATGCTGCAGACTAGACTGCCCAACAGCCTTAACCACAGAATTATTACTAAGAATACCTTGAAAGGAACTCAGACTGCCAAGTGCTATTTCCAAATGTAAGTTAAGGAGATATTGAAGCGTGTAATGAAACTGTGCTCTTTGCCCTTCAGAGTCTCAGGAGGAATCCCCAAGAAGGAATTATGCCTTTTGCCTACCTGAATTTCTGGAATTAATTTTCAAGATTAGCTGTGATTACCTGGAACTTTTAATGGGACAGAAAGGTCAATCTGGACCACAGGAATATGTTCCACTCCTGGAGTGTCTTGGTATCGCTGGGAAAGCAAAGATTTGTTATGTTTTGAGCACTGCCAGGACATAGCTACATAAATAGACATATTATAAGACATCAAGCAGTTCAATCCCTTGAATGAACATTTTAAAGCATAGGAATGGAACAGTTTGTTACTAATCCTAGGGGTAGCAGGCTGTAGTTTAAAGCCAGTTGATAATTATTACAAAAGACCCTCTCTTCAGCTATAGCTTTTTAACTTCACTGCTGCCCTCGAGGTTTGCTGCAAGTCCCTGAAGAATTTCTGGGTTGTATTTTATTGCTAATACGTTGCCACTTCAAAAGATAAACTTTGAAATCTGAGTTGAGGAAAATGGGGCAGTCCTTAGAACATCCAGGGAATAAAGCAGGTTCTTTCCCTGAAAAGGTGTTAGGAGACCACAACAACTTTCTGGTCCATAAAACACACTGAGGAGCACCTTCAAGGCTCTCTCTGTTTGCAGGGCTCTGAGTGAGGTGCCTGATGCTGCTATCACCCAGGGCTGGGACAAACTGCACAGAGACTCACAGAACACTGGCATATCAGGTCACTCATGAGAGTCTCAACACAAACAAGACAAAAATCCCCAAAACAAGACAAAAACCCCCTGTTGTAGGCAGCCACTCCAGTCCACATGGTATAACGTGATCAGAACTGAAGCAGGAATAGTCAGAAGATCCCAGAGGATCTGCAGCTCTGACATTCAGGCAGCTTCACCCAGGGACAGGAGAGGCCAGGGAGATGATGTAACTCACTCACCTTCTGAGGGGAAGGAGAACTTTTAATATAAAATGGGTTGTTGGCCTGCTCCTGTTTCCGAGCCTCCCGACGCTGGAATGAGAGGGGATTTGCGGTCAGAATGTTAGTAAGCAAAGAGAGGCAAAAGGCATCAAAGTGCAAACTGCAATCTCCCTGAATTGTTGGAACAATACATAACTATTTGTGAAAACACTAGAGCATAGCAGTCTGTGTGTGAGAAAGCAGCTCTGAGTTTCAAGACGTACTAGGATACAACTACAAGTACCGTTATGAATTCCCATCCCTGGGAATGTTCCAGGCCAGGCTGTCCTATGGCAGGGGGTGGGACTGAATGAGCTTTAAGGTCCCTTCCAACCTGAACCATTTCATGATTCTATAACTACTATTCCTCAGAACACCCTTCTTTGCTTTTTAATCACAGCCCAGAGATAGGAACTTCCCCAAGGCCACATTTTGATGGCAATTCAAATGTTTCTGTTTTCATTTCTGCAAGGAGAGGGAGAAGTGAAGATTCTTAATAACAAGTTCTCTCCGTGAAATCAGAAAGGTCAGAGGCAGGAAAGGTGGGACCAGTGCTGGAAACAGCCATGTTGCAGTCATTCACTGAAGCTGCTGAAGCCCGTGAGCATCAGTTCATGAGCTGTAGGGAGCACAACAGCTCTTCACAGCCTGAATTATGTAGGGA